CGATCGATAGGGTAAAGGAGCAAGTAGACTCTTATAGATACTTTCATTGTCACTCATATTTTGGACATCGGAAAGAAATGATCGATCTTGAGACACAGTATTTTAGTTACAATAAGATTCTTCTACTCGCTGTTGGCTTATGGCCTTATCGGCAATCAAAGTTAACTCGACTTCAATTCATATTTTTTTCCATTATATTAATAACGGGTGCAATATTTCAGGTGAGCAATATATGTATTAATATATAATATTATATTATAAATTATTATTACAGCAGTTTTTTAAACTAATATTTATATATATTTATACTATATATACTCAGACAACACGTATGTCTCAAATACATCTGAAAGATGTTTAAAAAAATGGCTTTTTTCGGACATCATAAAGACATGCTTGCTGTCTGAGTATGTATGTATATATAAAATATAAATAAATGTAAAAAAGTAGCAAGATTAAATTTTTTTTTAAAAACTGATAAAAACAAGATTGTGTCAAGCCGAGAGTTACATCTTCGCCATACTTCGTCAACTTCTGTACAAGTTTCAAATCACTAGCTTTCCCACGTGCAGTTCTACAATTATTTATAGAAGTGCATATTTGGTGATGCACCATGAAAATGAAGAATAAAAAGTAACGCATCTCTTGCCTCGATGCAATCTTGTATTTGCAAAATTATCAGTCCTTAAGAAAAAATTTATTCTCATTACTTTTCTGATGCATTTCGTATATCATTTCATTAATCATACAATTTGATTATTATTAATTAATATAATAAAATTTGTTTGTAAATATTTAAAACTTTCAAGGCTAACTTATAATAAAAATACTTGCAGTTTACTACATTTCTGACTTTAAAGTTTTATTCTCCGATTCTCATTGTCCAGATTCTATCTACTACAACTTTGTACATCATTTTCGAAATAAAATATAGTTCGTTTTATGCCAATATTAACAATGTAAGTTGATAATACAAAAAGTACTGAAGTATGAATAGACTTACATTAAAACATCCCAGACAGCACGCTTGTCCAAAATCGAGACATAAGACGGCTTAAAGACGTCATTAAGACGCCTTTTAGACACGGTATCTAAAAGACGTCTTAATGATGTCTTTAAGATGTTTTATGTCCCGATTTTAGACATGTGTGCTGTCTGGGATATTTCTTGATATGCATAAAAATAGCACAGAAAAATATTGGAATAGGTGAAAAATTTACTGATGCAACTTGAGCATATATATAACGAGTTAAAAGATAAAAACGAAATTGCTATCATAGAGAAATATGGCTACAATGGAAAACGTTATACGATCGGACTTATAAGTAAGTTAATAATTTCAGATTTTGCAATTTGATTGTATTTTTTTTAAACTTTAAAGTTTTATTCTCTGATCCTCATTACTCAGTTTTTATCTACTGCAAATCTCTCACCATTTTTATGATAAAATACAGATCGTTTTGTGTTAATATTGATAACGTAAGTTGATAATATACAAAGTAACAAAGTATAAATAAATACATTACATCTTACATTAAAACACATTTTTTAATATATACAAAAATAGCACAAAAAAATATTAGAATAATAAATAAAAAATTTATTGATGCAATTTGTAAGTAACATGTGCATATATGTAACGAGTTAAAAGATAAAAACACGAAATTGCTATTATAGAAAAATAAAGTAAAGTACATAACATACGTAAACATACGTATACATAAAGTTTGAAAAAATCTTGGTAAAAAATCGAATCTAATTATCAACTGTATAAGTAATTATCAACTGTATAAAAATAGATTATATTCAAAACACTATTAAATTTCTTAATGTCCGTGTGAGATATGTAAATGCCATTCTAAAATATTATATAAAAAAAATAATAAATTATATAAAAAGTGATGCAAAAAATCTTTTTTTAACGCTTTTCAGCATTATCCATTTGCGGCATGTTTCTCATACTTTGTAGCCAATTTTGGTCAGAAATTTTCAATATTGCCTTACCAACAAATGAATCGCGATTACATCGCATACCAGTCATGACGGAATATTTTGTCAATCAAGAACAATATTATATTTTAATTCTGCTACATATATATGTAGCATTTTTTATAGGGACAATAATAGTACTAGCAACAGGAACAATAATTAATACGTTTTTCCACCATATGTGTGGAATGTTTACAGTTTCTAGGTATATATTAAATACAGAAACAAAGATTCTAATAATTCAATAAATATATTATTTACAGTTACCGTATTGAACGCGCAGTAAACTTTAATATGTTCAAAAATAACCGAAATAAAGAGAGTTTAATATCTAAGAATATAAGTTGTGCCGTAGATATTCATCGGCAAGCTATGAAGTTAGTAATTATCTAGTTCATCATGGATATAATATGTACAGTATTATATTTTTGTTTTTGTAGATTAACCAGCAATTTAATGTCTGGGTTTGATCCATGGTTCTTTGGTTTAATATTATTCGGAGTGGCTTCCTTAAGTTTCAATTTGTTTCAAGTAAGTTTCCGATTTCGATTTTTAGATTTATTTTTAAAGAAGATTTTTGTTTAAATAAGTGTGTGTGTGTGTGTGTGTGTGTGTGTGTGTGTGTGTGTGTGCGTGCGTGCGTGTGTGTGTAAGTTACTTCAAATTTTCGCGAATTGACAAAATTATTTACGAAGTATAATAAGAATCACCAAACTGGCGCCGATGTGTGTGTTATAAGCTTCTAAAATTGCTTGTATAAAAGAGCATTTTATACATGCAACGATGGCGTTAATTTACCTATGCTCGCCATATCTACCTAAAAACTTTTTCAAATCATACATAGTTTTAGAAGAGACCCTTCACTGGGTGCTCATATAGGGAAGTTTCATATAATTCTAAAAAAGAAATTTTTATGAATGTTTCTGTACGGTTAGTATTTTTGTTGAGTTTATATTATTATATTTTGTAATTAATGTTATAAGATATGTAGATAAGTAAATATCTTTATAAAATTCTTTCTTTAGATTACTAACATTATATCATTGGAAAACGATGTCACAACAGTTTTATTACCTTTTGTAGTTATATTAACTATTATCATATACATGTTTCTAGCTAATAGTGCTGGACAAGATATTATAGATCATAATCATTATCTATTTTTTACCATGTAAGAGATTAATACAGTATTACAAAAATGCGTTAATAGATTCTCAGAGTAACAGTAAAGACTAATGTTTTATGTTTAAAATAGACAGTGCATGTTAAATGTTATTTACAAAGTTTCTTGTTTTTTTTAATTACTGATTCCTTATTTATACAATTATTAGATACAATGTTCCGTGGTACTTAGCTCCTTTAAATATACAGAGAATGATAACATTTCTGTTACAACAAACAACCAAAGAATTTTGTTTGACTGTCGGTGGACTATTTAACGCATCTTTAGAATGTTTCGCTACGGTGAGAACATATATTAAATATTAAATTGTATTTAACGATATATATAAACACAATAACAATTGATATTTTTTCTTTGTAGTTGGTAAAAGCATCGGTATCTTACTTTACTCTCATATATTCTATGCAGTAATGAAAAAAAGATTGATCAAATAAAAACGTAGTTTGAATTAAAAAATATAAATATATATTGTAGACAAATATTTTATTAGTAGAGTAAAAAGCCTAATTTTTGGAACATGTATTGTTTTATTCCAAAAAATCATAACAACAAAATTATTCAATCAAAGAAA